TCCCTTCTTGAGCAGCTACTCAGATCCAGCTCAGGCTCCAACTTGGATCTGGTCTCTGCTCAAGAGGCTACTCAGATCTGGCACCTCGTCAGGCTACAACTCAAATTTAGCCACTGCTTAAGCTCTTATTCAGCTCTGGATCAGGCTGAGGATCCATTTAGCTCCAGCCTCTGTCTGAGCAGGTACTTAGATATGGAACTTGTTTGGCCTCCCAATCCACTCCATCCCTGCTCAAGTTTTACTTAGCATCGACCCCTGCCCTGGCTCCAACTTGGCTCTGGCCCCTGCTTGAGTGGCTACTCAGATCACAGGTCTGTTAAGCTTCAACTCAACTCTAGCAGCTGTTCAAGCTCTTATTCAGCTTTGTCCCCTGCTCAACTCCAGCTTGGCACTGGTCCTTGCTAAGAATCCAATTGGGCTCTAGTCCCTGCTCTAGGCTCCAACTCAACTCTAGCAGATGCTTAAGCTCTTACTCAGCTCTGGCCCCTCCTCTGGCTCCAACTCAGCTCCAACCCTTGCTGAAGGTCTTACTTCAACCCATACTCAGGCTCACACTTGGCTTCCAGCCCCTTCTCGAGCAGCTGTTCAGATCTGGTGCTGAATCTGGCTGCAACTCAACTGTATGTGCTGTGCAAGCTCTTACTCAGCTCCAGCTGCTTGCAAGCTTCAACTTGGTTCTGGCCACTGCTCCAGCTGCAACTCAAGTGCAGCCACTGCACAAGGTCTTACTCAGCTCCAGCCCATGCTCACTCTCCAACTTGGCTCTGGCCCCTTCTTGGGCTTCCATGTCTCTACCACCCCTGCTCATGATGCCACTCAACTCAAGTCCCTCCTTGGGCTCCTACAAACTGTTGCCACTCCTTGCTGTGCACTCAGGTCTGTACAGTCCTTGGGCTCCAACTACATTCCAGCCTCTGCTCTGGCTGCTACAAGCTTCAGCCCCTGTTTGGGCAGCCACTGATCTTTGATCCCTCTCAGACAGCACCCACTCAAGATTGTTACCAGAGCTTAGGGGCTGGAGCTAAGATGGTGAGATATCCGTAGACAAGTGGGTGCCAGAGCAGATGCCAACTCTGAGTAGCCATTGAACAGGGGCTGCAGCTAAGAAGCTACTTGAGTAAGGACCAGAGCTCGGTAGTTTTCCAAGGAAGATGCAGAGACAATTACTTGCTCTATCTCCTTATGGAGCCAAGGTAGTATTTCAAGCAGGTGTGGTAGTGCTGTGAATGCCTGAGCAGGGGCCAGAGCCAAGTTGGAGCCTAAGCAGGTGTCGTGGTTTAATCACAGTCGGCAACTAAGCACCACGTAGCCACTCGCTCACTCCCCCCTCCCCCCGGTGGGATGGGGGAGAGAATTGGAAGAGCACAAGTGAGAAAAACTCGTGGGTTGAGATAAAAACAGTTTAATAATTGAAATAAAATTATAATAATAATAATATGATAATAATAATAATACACAAAGCAATTGATGCACAGTACAATTGCTCACCACCCGCTGACCGATGCCCAGCCAGTCCCCGAGCAGCGGCCCCCCCGGCCAGCTTTCCCCCAGTTTATATACTGAGCATGACGTCGTATGGTATGGAGTATCCCTTTGGCCAGTTTGGCTGTGCCCCCTCCCAGCTTCTTGTGCACCTCCAAGCCACCTCAGTCGGTAGAGCATGGGAAGCTGAGAAGTCCTTGGCTAGTGTAAGCATTACCTAGCAACAACTAAAACATTGGTGCGTTATCAACTTTGTTCTCATCCTAAATCCAAAACACTGTACCAGCTACTAGAAAGGAAATTAACTCTATCCCTGCTGAAACCAGGACAGCAGGGGCCAGAGCTGAGTAAGGGTTTGAACAGGGGCTGGAGTTTACTTGGAGGTCCAGGAGGTTCCAGATCTGAGTAACCTACTTGGGCATATACTTGGCTCTTCATCCTACTGCAGGTGCTTCTCAAATCCAGGCCCTGAAAAGGGAGTGTGGATACATGATCTAGAAACCCCTTTAAGTAGACACTGTAACACAAATATATTGCTAATAGAGCACTCCCCCCCTACCCCGGTGGGATGGGGGAGAGAATTGGAAGAGTAAAAGTGAGAAAAACTCGTGGGTTGAGATAAAAACAGTTTAATAATTGAAATAAAATTATAATAACAGTAATAATAATGTAATAATAATAATAATAATAATAATGATAATACACAAAGCAAGTGATGCACAATGCAATTGCTCACCACCCACCGACCGATGCCCAGCCAGTCCCCGAGCAGCGGCCCCCCCTGGCCAGCTTTCCCCAGTTTATATACTGAGCATGACATCACATGGTATGGAATATCCCTTTGGCCAGTTTGGCTGTGCCCCCCTCCCAGCTTCTTGTGCACCTGCAGCCTTCTCAGTCGGTAGAGCATGGGAAACTAAAAAGTCCTTGGCTAGTGTAAGCATTACCTAGCAACAACTAAAACATCGGTACGTTATCAACTTTGTTCTCATCCTAAATCCAAAACACTGTACCAGCTACTAGGAAGGAAATGAACTCTATCCCTGCTGAAACCAGGACACAGACACTGACACCAAAAGGAGGATGAAGCTGATCACATCCCAAAGAGCAGTCCTCACCTGGTCTGTGGTCAATGGCCAGGACTGGAAATGGCTGGTATAAGTGTCTGGGTCTGGAAACTGTTCAGGGGTAGTTTCTTCTGTTTGTTCAAGCAACAACAAGCTGGGCTGGGTCTTTGAAGTCAGGGATCATGTTTGAGGGCCCCTATGGGCATGGGAATGCTCTACAGGGCCCCAGAATCTCCTCCACATGCTCCATTCTCCTGTGGGGCTCCTAGATGCTGCCAGCCCTGCAAAGGGTTCAGGAGAGGACTTGTCCTGCCTGTAATCACAGCTGGATCCCAGGCCTCTAGCAGGAGCCTGGCTGAGGAACTTTGTCTAGGGGTGATAATGGGGTGAGGGCTGGCACGTGGAGTGGGAGAGACTGTCTTATGGGCATGTGCTGGGGATGGGGACTGAGGGACAGCAGCAAACTGACATGGCTCCTCGGTTGTACTTCCTTCAGTGCAAGCTCAGGCACAAGGCTCCAGCCTCCCATTTCATCAAAGGGACAAACAATGGCAATAAGAGATGGGGAATGGGGGACTCCAGTCCTTCTTCAGCCACTTTCCAGGCCCCTGTGGAGCACAGGACAGCAAGGATATCTGGGTCTTCACCCATGAGCACACAGTGTACCCACACTCTGAACATGGGCTTGGGTTAGCTGAATGCCGGCATTGTTCTATTTGAGGCAATTTCAAGCCCAGGTTGTCTTCCTTCTGATCTCTCCCTATTCCTCCTCTATCTGGCCAGCTGTTCCTGCCCCCCTCCCCATACACCCCCCAGGACCCCAAGCTGGCGGTGCTGCTCTGCAGAGCAAGTGAGCTGTGCTGCTCAGAGCTAAGGGATGACCCTGCACTGGCCATGCTGGCCAGGGTGGGAAGCAGACCCAGTGGGACAGGGATCACTGCTGCTAACTCCTCTCACCAGGGGGGGGATCTGTAGATGTGGCAGGTGCTTGGAAGGACTGTGGAGCATTTCCAAGAGCATTAGATGTGTTATGGTTTGTCTTTAGATAGCCCATAGTACTTCATTTATGCTGGCCTCCCTTCCCCATGCCTCCTGTGCCCCCACTGTGTCCTCTGCAATTGCAAAGTCCTCTTTTGTCTGTAGGTACCTCCTGCAGTTAGCAGTTCACCTCTACGCAGCTCCACATGGAGCAATCTCTCCCTTTGTGGAGCTCCATTCGCTGCCCACCTGTACTGGGTTTACAAGGCAAGGCTTTGGTAGTGGGCGGGATGATATGAGAAGAGGCCAGGGGCTGTCCCCATGTCGGGTGGAGCCAGTATAGGAGAAGGCCAGGGGCTGTCCCCATGTCGGGTGGAGCCAGTTTGTTGGCTCAGCAACTGACTCACCACAGGCACAGCTGAGCCCATCAGAGAAACTGGTGGGATCTCTGTGTTAGCGTATTTTAAAAAAGGCAAAAGTGGAGCCAGTTTGTTGGCTCAGCAACTGACTCACCACAGGACACAGCTGAGCCCATCAGAGAAACTGGTGGGATCTCTGTGTTAGCGTATTTTAAAAAAGGCAAAAGATTGACTAGCAGTAAGGAGAGAGGAAAGAAGTGTGAGGAATAACCCTGCAGACACTGAGATCAGAGAAGGAGTGGGAAGAGGCACTCCAGGCATTGGAGCAAAGATTCCCTTGCAGCCCATGAAAGAGACAATGGTGGAGCAGGTATTTCCCTGCAGCCCATGGACAGGACCATGCTGGAGCAGATGTCCCCACTGCAGCCTGTAGAGAGGACCACAGTGGAGCATATATCCACACTGTAGCCCATGGAAGACCCCACACCAGAGCAGGAGGATATTTCCTGAAAGAAGCTGCAGACAGTGGAGAGTGCACACTGGAGCAGATTCTCCTGAAGGTAACTGTGGCCTGTGGCAGGGAACCCACACAGAAGCAGGTTTATCCTGAAGGACTGCAGCCCATGCAGAGGTCTCATGCTGGAGCAGGAGAGAAGTGTGAGGAGAAAAGAGCAGCAGATGGGTGACTCCTAAATCTAGTCCTCGGTCTCTAACAGGTCACAATGTGACAATGAGCCTTATACTCCTGAACACAGGGAGGAAGAGGAACTTTTAGGATGCAGTTCCTCAAGCCTGTTCTTGACACCAGCTTTAGAGGAAGAGCCCAGCCTTCGGGCAGTGTACTGGGGAGATCCCATTTCATTAGAGAGATGCTATGAGAAAGCTAGTTCTGAGGAAGTCTTAGACACACTTCTATATGGGCTCCAGGTGAGACAGAGCAGGTTAATGCCTTAGTTGTAGCGAGACAAATTCAAACATTTTTTAGGAACATAATAACCACAGATACCAATAGCAACAGCAAAAAAACCCACACAAAAGGCTGAAATCAGATACTCTGGGAATCATTTGTGGAGAGAGGAGGTAATTTTATCACCACTGAAAAATGTTCATGGAGTCACTTAATAGCATCCTTGAGCTCCTTGTTCTTCATGCTGTAGATGAGGAGGTTCACTGCTGGAGGCACCACTGAATACAGAACTGCCACCACCAGATCCAGAGATGGGGAGGAGGTAGAGTAGGGTTTCAGGTAGGCAAATATGCCAGTGCTGAGAATCAGGGAGACCATGGCCAGGTGGGGGAGGTACATGGAAAAGGCTCTGTGCAATCCTTGCTCAGACGGGATCTTCAGCATGACCCTGAAGATCTGCACATAGGACAGCATGATGAAAACAAAACAAACAAAAGAAAAAAGGGTACTAACCATGAGAAGCCCAGCTTTCCTGAGGTAGGAGTCTGAGCAGGAGAGCCTGAGGATCAGGGGGATTTCATGGAAGAACTGGTCCAGGACATTGCCTTGGTAGAGTGGTATTGAAAAGGCATTGGCAGTGTGTAGCAGAGCATAGAGAAACCCACTGCCCCAGGCAGCTGTTGCTATGCTGGTACAAGCCCTGCTGCCCAGGAGGGTCCCTGCAGGGGTTTGCAGATGGCAATGCAGTGGTCATAGGCCACGACAGTGAGAAGATAAAACTCTGCTGTAGCACAGAAAAAGAAAGAAAAGACCCATGCAGCGCAGCATATCCCACACAGGAGATGATCCTGGTGTCCCAGAGAGAAATGGACATGTGTGGGGGGAAAGTGGTGGAGATGGAGCCCAGGTTGAGAAGGGAGAGGTTGAGGAGGAAGAAAAACGTGGGGGGATGGAGGTGGTGGTCACAGGCTATGGTTGTGATGATGAGGCTGTTGCATGGGAGGGCAGCCAGGTAGATGCCCTGGAAGAGCCAGAAGTGCAAGAGCTGCAGCTCCTGCATGTCTGCAAACATGAAGCGGATGAACTCAGTCATGAAGCTGCAGTTGGACATTTGCTCCCCCTGGGCACAGAAGTCTGTCCAAAGATGGAAAAGACATGGTAAAGTTAGGACAGACTTCTCTCAGCAAAGGTACTCCATTTCTCATTGAAATACACACCCACCCACCCCCAATTAAAAAGCATTTCCTTTCTCTGGGTTGTTGTGCTGAATGTGCTGTGAGGAGCAGGGGCTCTGCCTGTGATGTCCCGAGGAGTCAGCTCTGCCCTGCTGCAGTGAGTACACAACCCGACCTTGAATGTTTCCAGGGATGGGGCATCCACCACCTCTCTGGGCAACCTGTTCCAGTGTTTCACCACCCTCAGAGTAAAAAATTTCTTCCTTATATCTAGTCTAAATCTACCCCCTTTTAGTTTAAAGCCATTCCGCCTTGTCTAGCACCCTGTAGTGGTAAGTCACTAGCATGGGAGTTTAGACAAGCAGTTCACATTCAGGTGCCTATTTTGAGCACACCTGAACTAAGGCAAGTGGAATCCCACCTCCTGGGGGTTTGTAGTAGGCATGGGAGGGAGCTGAGTCACCTTCCAGCCCCAGGACTACACATTCAGGATGAGATGCCTCCATTGACTCAGCTGAATCCTTTCCCTCAGCAGGGGTAAAGGAGATCCCTGCCTGTACCTCCCCAGGTGTCCTATCTAATGATGGGACAAGGAAAGGTGATTCTTGTACCTAACTCTGTCTCTGAGAGGAGAGATGACACTGCTGGAAATAAGTGTCTCTGCAGAGCTGAGAGGGGGAACATCAGTGATTACTGCAGTCTCTTTCAAAGTAGTTTCCTGGGGGATCCCAGAGACATCTGGAGGGACTACAGGGTGGTGCTTTCTCTGCCTCCCACCCCACCCTCTAGCACCTCCACACCCTCATGTACTTCTTCCTCCTCAGCCTTTCTCTCCTTGACCTGGGCTCCATCTCCACCACTCTCCCCAAATCCATCGCCAGTTCCCTGTGTGACACTAGTGTCATTTCCTGTGTGGGGTGTGCTGCCCAGCTCTTTTTATTTTTCTTCTGAATTGGAGGAGGCTATTTCTTCCCACCGTCATTGTGTATGACTACTTTATTACCATTTGTAACCCCTGCACTATGGGACCCTCCTGAGCAGCAGAGTTTGTCCCAACATGGCAGCAGCTGCTGTTCTGTAATTGGTGGTGCCTCCAGGATTGAAGCCCTTCATCTACAGCATGAGGAACAAGGAGCTCAGGGGTGCCCTGAGGAAACTGATTTCATAGACATTCTTTTTAAAAAGCTAAAACTTGCTGTCTCTCGCTACTAATTATTCCCAGCATATCCCATACCAGGCCTGAGCTTTGTTTATTCACTGTGTTACTGTCAGTGTTATTTCTCCTTATCTCCAAACACTCTTACACAAGTGTCTGGATTTGTCTCACTACATCTGAGGCATGAACCTGCTCTGTCTCACCTGGAGACCATATAAAAGTATGCATAACAAAGGCTCAGAGCGAACTTTCTCATACCATCTCTGTCATAAAATGGGATCTCCCCTGTGCACCTCTCTTCCTCCAAAGCTGGTGTCCAGAAGAATAGGATCATAAAAGGGCCTGTTGATCCATGGATTTGGGAGCAAAAAGCTCATTGTCACATCATGACCTTTTAGAGACCAAGTGTTATTTTTAATATGCTCACTGTTCCACATATGGCATGGCAGACACCCATCCATTAGGAGGGGAATCTGGGAGCACAGGGGATCTTCAGGGACAGTGTGTGCCTGGGGTGGGCAGCGAATGGATGTCGACAAAGGTAGAGGTAGCCAAAGGTGGAGACACTCAAAGGGAAAGCACTAAATCCAGGTATCCACAGGCAAACAAGGACTCTGCAATGCTGGGGGAGGCAGTAGGGACCCAGAAGGCATGGGAAAGGGAGGCTGGAGAGGGATTCATGTCACCCTTAGTCAAGTATTGTCAGCTGGATCTAGAGACACACCTGCAACACCTAATGCCCTCAGAAATGCTCCACAGTCCCTCCAAGAACCTTCCACCTCCACAGACCCCAGGTGGGGGCAATGAGCAGCAGCAATCCCCATCTGGCTGGGCCTGCTTCCCACCCTGACCAGCATGGCCAGTGTAGGGTCACCCTTTTGCCCCGAGCACCACAGCCCAACTCTTTCTACAGAGCAGCACTTCCAGCTTGGAGCCCTGTGGGGTGCACAGGAATGGCTGGATAGATCAGCAGTGGGATAGGGACTGATCAGATGGGATCTGACCTGGACTGGAAACTGTTTTGACAGAAAAATGCGAACATTTAACTAAACCAAGACAATGTGTGGGTACACTAATGTGTGCTCTCAGGTGAAGACCCAGATATCCTTGCTGTCCTGGTGCTCCACAGGGCCTGGAAAGTGGCTGAAGAAGGACTGGAGTCCCCCATTCCCCATCTCTTAATGCCATTGTTTGTTCCTTTGATGAAATGGGAGGCTGGAGCCTTGTGCCTGGGTTTGCACTGAAGGAAGTACAA